GAAATGCAGATGAAGGAGGAATTAATTTCTCTGCTAGAGGGGTAGCATTCAATAACACATTCAACAAAAGCACTGTGTTTTTCAAAATGTTAGCTGCATTTTCAGCTATAATAACACTTTTATAAGAACTCATTCATTGTGAATGCAAACAGGAAACTGCTGTACACTGAATAAGATAATTGACCCATATAGTCACTGTTGTTTCTGGTAAGCAGCAACTCCCCACAGTCTGAGATAAAAACCTTTTCCCCACCCTGCCTGCCCTGCTCCTTGGCCTTTTTAATGGCCAAGTTTTGATTATGAGGTCTGTTCCACACAAAGTTATGGCCCTTCTGCCATAACTGAAATATAACCTCTTGATATTACAGTAATGGCTCATGGCTCATGTATATAGTAATGTGAAACACTGGACTTCTTCCCTCAAGTCTCACATTTTCTCTTCCATATTATTTCTTTTTCCTCTTGCTGCTTTTCATAAATTCCTTTAGCTAATGGAGGCAGAACTATGCATAGTGTGTGCAAGAGATGTGTTTACTTTCATCTCATAAATGTAACTTATAGTGGTGCTTAAAAGATTGTGAATCCTTTTGAATGTTCAATATTTCTGCATAAATATGACCTAAAATGTGACTTGTTCTCCACACAAGTCCTAAAACTAGATAAAGAGAACCCAATTAAACAAATGAGTCAAAAACATCTATTTCTGCATAAATATGACCTAAAATGTGACTTGTTCTCCACACAAGTCCTAAAACTAGATAAAGAGAACCCAATTAAACAAATGAGTCAAAAACATCATACTTGTTCATTTATTTATTAAGGAAAATTATTCAAAAAATGACTTGAAGGATAGCACAGTTGGGGCCATATGGACGTTGGAGGTAATGTTCCAGAAAGCAGGTACATCAACAAAGGAGACATGTTTCACATCTATGAACATGACATGGAATGGAATGAGAGAAATGTGAACATCTGTAGTTTGGTTAGCTGTCCATTAAGATGAATCTAAATCTATCAGGATCAAATCCAATTTATTATTCATTGCATCAGCTCTCCCAACCCAGAAAAAGATACAGCTGCTTTATTGCTTCAAAAGAAGGGTTCTCACTTATTAAGAAACACCCTTTTCAAAAATTTTGCAGAGCCTTGGTTTTTAATCTCTGTGACTGCAAAAAATATGTTTGTAAACATATGGATAATAACTGCTAAAATCACAGTTGACTGCATCTTTGTGATTGAAAGGTTGAATTTCAGTATCTTAGTTCTTTTTGTGCTACAGAATTTGGACTTGTGGTGTGGATACAGAATTTTACTAATTTATTTATTTTGGTTGTAGCACCATATGACTCTGGGTGGCCCACAGTATAAAACAGAATACAGATGCAGCAGTATAAATTTAAAAATACAATAAGAGAAATAACACAATGACACAATATAATATTGTGACTTTAATTTACAACTGTTCTTAAGAATATTTCTTACATTATAATTGGCCCTTTCTTCACTCCATGTGATAAGGAAACTCTTTCCACATCAATGAACATTCTGTGGAATAATCAGATGGAGATATTTGACCAGCAACAGCACTTAGATTTAGACAGATAGAAAACTTTGATAATTATTTTCTTATCAGAAGCAAAGCCTGGAATAGCTGTCTCATTTCAAAGCACAACTATTCTTCTGTGGCTAATCAATATCTGATAATGAATAGGCACTAGTTAATGTCTCAGTCTTTAGTTTTTAGAAAACATAGTGTTACATTAGTATTTTTTGTTCTTGAATCATGCCATTAAAAACAATTTATAAACTGATGAAGATATGGATAAATAATTATTTTTAGCTATCGTAGTTAATCCAATTAGATCAAGTTCTTTCTTAAATGTTTATTCAGTGGTATAAAATTATCTGTTTTACAACTTGTAAAATGTTCTATCTTTTGAGTTCTTTAGTATTTGATCAACTAGAATAAATTTTATTATTTCAGATTAAAATTGTTAGACAATTTAAGGAAATTGTATTTGAGGTAAGATATCTTCTGATGTGATATGAATAATTGGCAATGCTAATCCTGGAACTGAAGGATCTATCTATTCCTATCTTCAGTCTGAAGTTAAAACATCATTACAAAATTCCTTTATGTTGTCACTTGTTCTATAACAATATGACCCATTACCATCATATATCAGCTACAAATGTGTAACGAGTGTTTCTGTTATTTATCAAATATTCCTATTCACTGATATCAAAGTTTTCAGAATCATTTTTATAAATATCCTTGAATCAAAACTTCTGGCTTCTTTGAAATGTGTAGCATTGGTTATCTTACTAGACAACCTGGCTGGTTTTTATCTGTTTGGCATCCTGTATGTATCCAGAAGCATTACAGCTGCATCTGTTTGAGAAGTTTCTTCTCAGCCCTTCTGGGAAAGTATGACTATAGTAATTATCTTATCTTGGTAAGGAAATGCCAGAGTTGCAAAGTAAATAGCAAAGATGGAATCTGTTCTGTTTCTTTTGACATCCTTATGAGGTTTGTAACTCATAGCCAAGTAGCAATATATTGAAAACACAAGCCTGGTAAATCAGCATCTGCAGCCTGATCTACATGTGAGGCTAAGGGTAATGGTAGAATGGATTGTGCTCATTTAAATTAAAGTAGGGGCAGATCACTTGTTGGTAGCTGGGGGAAGTAGACATAGTGACCTATTATGCTAAGCCAAAATGTGATTTGGCAGCATACGTAATGAATTCGGCCATTGTTGTCTGCAAATCATGTTTTCTGTAGCTTAGCATGATGTGTGGATCCATCTAGTAGTTTCTTAGCAAACCATACTTAAACTATGGTTTAGCATAGTGTAGGAACCCAACCAGTACAATGATGTCACATCAAGTCACATTCTAAAACAGATACTACAAAAAAGTATATTTTTACTTATTTTACTTACCTGGACCACCAGGAGGCAGTACATGACCAGTTCAATCCTAAATTGGGACTTGTCAGATGTATGTAGCCAAGTCTTTTCCCTGTACTGGGAACTGAACTTGGTGAATTGTATATACCATTCTGATAGATATGAAAAAAAGGGTGAATGGGAGGGAATGACATTTACAGTATTAACTACAGTAAACATGGGAAGAATAACCTGACAGAGATTTCTCTTCCACCAGTCATGCTATTTAATAAAAACAAAGTTGTACACACATGGCAGTTAATGCAGCATACAATTCTCCTAAGTATGTGGAATTGCAGATGCAACAAAATGAGGCGGGACTGAAGTTGTAATAGAACACTGAAGTGACGGAGCAGACAGTGACATTTCAAGCTAGACATGATAGGTAATCATATTACATTTATGTCTACATTTATTTTTTAAAGTAAAAGCAGCTCTTTGTAAATAGAAAAACAGCACATCAGGGACCAGGTTCTACTCTAACCCTTTTGTCTGTTGTGCTTCCTGAACTGGGGTTAACAGACACCATCACTTAAAGTAGCACTAACAGTAAAGCATACAAAATGACATATGTAAAACCAGGGATTTCTGGGAAGAGTCACATCACGTCAAAGCAAATGAAAGGCAGGGATTGCTCTAGCAGGATGTGTCAAAAGGTTCTCAGTTACAAGTTGAGTAAGTGCCAGTTGAGTCATGCAGTCACTTAAAAAAAAAAAAAAAAAGTAAAAGCAGTTTTAGACTTTGTTAACAGAAACATAGTGCCCATATCATGAATGCTAAAAAAAAGTCAAGCTGAAAAAGAATTTGTTAATAGACTACCCTTCCTTTCCAACCTTTCCAGCTGAACCTGAAAAGGCCGAAGAGAAACCGTAAAAGAGTTTGACTAGACTCCAGCATATGATCCAAAGTCCTCTGAAATTAGTTTCCCTCAAATACAGTATATTTCATATCTCCCATAGGCTCACAATTTTATAATATCTGAAAAGAGCTATAGTTCTACTCTCTTCAGACCAATGCTGAACATTGCTGAATATAATTATTAAATTCTACTCTTAATTGCAGTTGCATTAAAGGATTTTATTTAATGTGACTTGGAATGGATTCACACTGGTTTCTACCATTTGAATCTAGTTATGTATTTCCTGACTACTCTATATATTTAATGCTGTAAGTAAATTTGCTACCCAAGTTACTTTCAGGCAAAAAAATAAAAGTGTTGCTGAATGTCACATCAACTAAGTTAACAAATCCATATTATGGTAACATTGTATCTTTAGGCCAACTCGGAGGACACATTAAGTAGTATGAATGCTTTTGACTCCTTCATCAAGCTAAATGATAAACAAAGTGTTGTTTGAGTTACAGTAGATTTCATCTGGGTCTGTTGCAGCCTTAAGTTTCAATAAGGATTGCAGATACAGTCCCCAGGTTAAGAACACCTGGTTTAAGGATGACCCATAGTTAAGAACGAAGCCTATTGTATCAAAATTTGAGTTAAATACACAATGGTTTGAGTTCATTACACAATACTACTTATACAGTATTATACAATG